TTGTAGGTAGTTTGGCTAGTAGAACCATCAGTTCTAGTAGTTCTGACCTCAACGTCTCCGCGGCCTAGGGATTCAACCTCTGTGTTACCTCCCGGAGAGCCTCTATTTCACTGCGAAATTAATAAATCTGTTGCGCATATTGCAGACATGAATATTTGATCCAGAATCTGCTATAAAGCTATCTCGTAGTTCGTAGGGCCTTGTGGTCGTGAAAACATTATGATTTCCAGCATTTTTTGTGGAAGATTGAGAAGGATGCATGACAAGATCATTATCTCTATCTTTTTTGTTCTAACTTGACGTTTCCCTCCCATTTTCTAGAGCTTTTGCAAGTCTAAGATTGGTTTTTGCTGCCTCTTGTATCCGCTCTAGGATCTCAGGGGATGACTTGAAAGATAATGATCTTGCTACTTGATTAATGTGCCAACAATCCTTATACCAATGTCTCTTTCCGCATACACATTCCAGCGGTTGGGATCGCGAGTTCCGCGACTTCTTTGGTGTTGCAGGATTGTCGGAATGGCCTTGAAAGGTCCCGAAAGCGTTGCCTTTTAGCTGAGTATCGCTGGGAGTAGTATTTTCATGAATTCGGTAAGAACTCAGCGCGTCTTCGAGCTCTATTTCCTTGCCTAGATTCATGCGAGTGAGTTCTGGCGTTGCATAGCTACATTGCATTCTTTTCCCTTTTTGTTTATTCATATTAGCGGGATTGGGCTTTCTTTACCTCTCTTACTATCTCGCAGCCACGGAGCCGCTGGACGGCTCAACCCTGCATGGCGGCCATGTAATATAGGCAAGCTGGGACAGGATAATGAGGGCTACTACTACTACTATTATAAAGGATACCCTATGCCAAGCTCCCGCTGGCTGGCCCTTCTACTATAAATGTGTAATTTTTTTCGTAGTATCAATTCTAATCCCCCAAGCCCAGGTGAGAGACATCACTCGGAAATAAACCACAGACGTGCAATGCTTGATGAGCCTGGCGAACAAGCTTTTCGATGGTCTAGGTTTTGGTTTTATGATAGACACGGATGACCAGGTGGAGAGGGTTCTAGTCCACGATACCTGGCCCGCGAGAAGCAATCCTGCAGTAGTATCACAATGGCCCGTGCATATATCCATGGTGGGGTGATGGGCTCGGTGTGTGCCCAAGAAGGTAAACGCTTTGCCATAAAAGTCCCGTTGATCTAGTTCCTAGGTCGGCTAGAGAAATTTCCTAAATACCCTGTGCTTCTCTTCACTGCCATCTGAGTCGCTGGCAATGGTGTGTCTGTTACTCAGCCTTCGCTGGATTAGGGTGCTTGTCCGGCTCTCCAAAGTTAAAAACCATACCGATATTGGCGACATAAAAGCCATCCCATCTTGGTTGTCTCAGCAGGCCAATCGGTTCAAACAATGGCAGGCGCTATGGGTGTCTCTCATGGGCATTCCGTTACAGAAATATGGGATTCGCCATCTTGGATAGCTTCACTTTAGATAGATGTCAAGAGGTATGGTTTCTAATATATGATGCCTTCATAAATATGCCAAATGGGCCCAATCCCCCCTTCCCCTTTCGTGAGGCAAGATGAGGATGCGGAAGTGTTATTATAGTCTTTTGTAGGTGTATAGGACCGAAGATATGGTTATAAGGAGACGCAATGCCTAATTATGCCGCTAATAAAGTACCACCTTTTCTGAACCCAGCCCCTCTCATATGAATACAGCTAACAACAACAGCAATCACTTTCATCGTCTTTGCTATCTCCCGGACAGCATCCCCAGTCACTGCAACAACCACCTTCACAGCAATCACTGCTGTTATCACCGCCGCCACCGCTGCTCCTATCCTGGGTATCCTCTTGAGGCCAATACTGGTCATTGCCATGCTCTGACTCACTGCTATACTGCTCTGGTTCCTCCTCCTCCTCACTCTCATCACTCTCCTCTCTTTCCTCCCTCTCAACCCGCTCAATCTGCTCATGAGTCCACCTCTCTTCAATATACTCCTCATACAGAATAGCCCCACTAGCACCGACCGCCGCACCCGCAGCGGCACCTGCTAAGGCCTTCTTCTTGTTCCCCTTTTTCTGTTGCTGCTGATGTTGTTGTTGCTGATGCTTGATAGCCTGTAATTCATGATTAAGGTGCGCATTCTGCTGCTGCATAGCGGCATTATGCTTAGTCATATGTTTCTGTGTAGCCTTATTCTGCTTTGCCATCTGCTTCTGCATCTGCGCGTTCTGTTGTGCGAATTTCTTCTGCTGCGCTGCATTCTGCCGGTGCTGCGCGGCGGATTGATGCTGTAATGCGGCGGAGTGCTGGTTTAGCTGTGCGCCGTGGCGGGCGATTTGTCGGCCTTGGGCATTTTGCTGGCTCTGGAGGTGGACGAGTGGCGGGTTTGAGTTGTTGCGGTGATGTTGGGGTTGCAGTCGGTATTGCATTTGGGGTGCTGGGCGTGGTTGGTTTGGACGTAGGAGGGCTGGGGCTGGAGGGTGTGGTTGCATGCCCATGTTGGGGACGGGCTTGCGCCGGTTTGGGGCCATGGTTTTGGAGGGTCTATTGGAAGTGAGAAGTGAAGTTGTTTGATGGGTGAGTTGACTAGATAATAACGGAAGTATGTACTAACGGGCGCGCTGTGTGTGTCTCTGCGTCTATGATATGTAGAATTAGCATTGAGTATAATAAACCAAGAGCACGCCCAAGGACTATACTTCCAGTAACTTGCCAATTTATAAACTCGTCTGGCTTGTACGTGCCAACTTGGGTTTAGAGAGTCTCATTGCTTTCGACATTCCTCCATTATAATGCTCGTTTCTATAGCCACTAACCTTTGGCGCAAAATTATCCCACTAAGATAGGTGGAAAACACGAGGCACCTCGATTCAAGCCGGGATCTTGAACCTTGTCCAATAATACCGGTGCAAGGGCCATATATAGCGAAGTGTTTTCTGGCTCAGTGTTTGCCGTTTTAGGAATTGATTGTATGCTTACGTGCACGGTCATTACTTGGCATAAAGTAAAGCTCGTATCTTGTCGGTCCGAATGTCAGTTGTCACCTTTAGCACGACAGTTACGGCCAATAAGCATCAGTAAATATTATAGGACCATGCAACTATAAATATCTATCACGAACTGGCGTTCCTTCGCCGCCACCTGCATGACAGCGCGCGCCCCCAGTCTAGCTTTCATCTGACGGCCTAAGTGCACGGCAGTTTCTATAAGTGGATCAAACCCAGTCTGCATAAAAAAAGTGAAATATTCGCGAGGCTCCGCCTCCACCTTCAGCGCGTAGTTCGGCCTCTTTATTGCTTTGTGGTGTTGGCTAGATATAGAATATGGCTTAGATACAGCCTCGCGGCCCGACAAAGCCTTATGATTGAGCGTTGATGCCATACGTAGCCTGGTGCAGCCGGGTCCAGATTATACATCCCTGCTTTATTACCAGCCTTGCCTTCCCGACTGCCGAAAAAGTTGGATCTTTACGTTGTACAGCCAATCCTTGCCCATTATCCTCAGAAGGCACGAACACCAGCAGCCGCTACTATGGCAGACTACCAATTTACCCAACCTCCAAATGGCCTTGTATTCAGAACAATCATAGACTGGGCCCACGAGAAAGCCGATCAAATTGTCGGCCCCGGCCGAACCAGCGGAGCCTACCACTCGAAAGGAGAATGGGAGGGCTGGGCGCCAGAGGAGTTGCGAATGATATTCAACGCGGGCATAACTGCTACCTGAACAACGAGAGACAAGCAGCAGACTTTGTGCTGACTCCGGATATATCTGGCAAATATGCCTTTGCACAACCATATGTGGATGAAGAATGCCTAATTCTCGATTTGAAATGCGAGAGCTATTTCAATACGCTGAATTTTGCGGAGAGGGTGGAGAAGGATATCAAGAAAGTTGATAGTGGGGTTTTAAAGAAGCGGCTGTTGCGTGGGGGGCGTAATTTCTCTTGCATCGCACTTGCTGTGAGCAACCAAGGGGCCTACGAGATGGGAGATTCGAATATGGAGCTGTTCGAGGTGGACGATATGGAAGCGCCATTTCAGTTGTGGGTGTGTGCGCAGGTTTGAGCCTGAGGAGTTCAGCAAGGACGAAGACAACGATGTTGATCTGGACAATGATGAGGACTATGAGGAAACCGGCGGCCAAGACGATGAGATACAGTACGATGGTACTTACGGCCATCAAGAGTTTAACTATGGTATGAATCAGGTTCCGTCCGCCGACGAAGGATATAACCATGAATGGCATAGCTATTATGGTGTAGGCTACTGAGGTCTGTCATGATAACGCCATTCCGAGAACTAGGAATAGAGCTCAACATGATCTATATAACGTGGAGCCTTGTGATTCTTGTCGCGGTCTAATTTGTTATTAAGAGGCTTGCCGAAAAATGTATATAATAACACGGTATCAGTTATCCTTGCTACTGAGTACTAGTTGAATGGTTTCTGAACTGCCATGCCTTGATAGGCTAGACCAACCGCCAACTCGTTATTTTGGTCGAAAGGGTTGTGCTAACCGTAGACAGGCCACCTATCAGCATGCAGGTTGACTACAGATCAGCACAGTCACGTCTCTCACAAGTATTAAAGCTAGCTGCTGGGGTAGGTAAATGGTTTGTTGATCCAAATGCAGGTAATTAGAGATTTGGAAAGCTTGGTGAAAATTATATATTTTTTCGGCAAAGAAGAAACATGCAATATACTAGCAAGAAGTTCAAGAAAACTAAGCAACAACAAAAGCATAGAGAGTATTACTGTACTATTAGAGAGCATAATTATTGATAAACAAAAGACGGGTTCAATATACATATTAAGTATGGAATCTCAGATTGCCCGCACAAGGACAATTGATATGCGTGACCTGAAATGGTCTAAAGGTTTGCCGTTGGAACCGGCAAACCTGCAGAAGGGAAAAAAAAAAAGAATTTCGTGTCTGATTGGATTTCTCAATCGGCGCAAAAAAACAAACCATTCTACAGGAGTGATCGTATATTTTCATTATGCGCTGACGGGGAGTCGAACCCCGGTCTATTGTTCTCTGTTTAATGGAAGACAATAATGATAACCGCTACACTATCAGCGCTGGGTATAAAATACCGTGTTTTATTTTTATTATTGAGGGAAGGACTGAACTCCATATATAATTGATCATTATTTACAGTCAAATTTAGTAACAAAATTACATAGCTCACTCGGTGCACCCGCCCTGAGTCGAGAAAGATGACAGAAGAGGCTGGGGTTTTGTAGTAGGAGGTATGTATCCCCACCAACTAGTCCTGGATTCGAATATACATATAGCAATAGGCTCGGAAGAGCTGCAGGGTCGTTGCTTGAACTTTTCATCTCATAAATCTCGTAACTAATCTCGTAATCATGAGGCTGTGCGGAGGGAAAAATCAGTCGACTGAGGTCGTATTAAGATATCTTCAAGCAATTATAATCGCTGTTATACAGATTCAATAACAGAAGAGAGAGAGCCATGCAAAGTTAGTTGTGAGCGTAAATTCAATTGTATTACCGATCTTTATCTAGAAGTTGGTGGTTCTCTAACATATATGAAGATTCGGCCGAAATAACCGCCTGCAATTACAATAACATAGTAGCGGTTTGCCTGAAGATCAGATCTTTTAACCTTGATAAAATGGCACGCTGCGCTTGAGCTCAGTATGTAGGGAAAAAAAGTCCGGCCATTGGGGTCATATGCTCCCACTTTAAGGGACTTATGCTGCTCTCGGCTTTCCTCCATGTCCTCCACGTCCACCACCGCGACGTCCTCCACGTTTCTTCTCGACCCCTCCTCTGCGGTCTCCTTGACCAGCTCCGGGACTTAGCGCATCACGAGTCTTGCCTCTAGGATGACCGCGCGGTCTAGCAGGCCTGTCTCCGGTCAAGTCATTTCCGCTTGCGTAGTTGAATCCAGGAACGCCCTTCATACCCATTTTGCCAATGACCTTTTTCTCCATTGGTGGAGGTTCAGGGCATGCCATGCCTTTTATGGCCATCTCGTTTGCGAGTTGAACAAGGCCGGGCTTATCGAGACGAAGTGGCTTCAGAAGACCTGATCCAGCAAAGAAGCCGATGAAAGACGAGTAGGCACGTTGCTTTGTCTCTTCATCAATGCTGTACATCGCCTGAGTGACAGCATCGGCGCATGAGGAAGCGCCCTCGTTGATCGCGTCGGTTTGGGGATGGGGCTTGATGGGCAAGTGGCGATTGTTCTTCATGAAGAAAGACTCGGCTTCCGTGAGGAGGATGATAGCGCGACCATCGTTGCCGGCGCGGGCTGTACGACCGACACGATGAACGTACTGTTCACCGTTCGATGGCAATCCAACCTGGATGACCAAGTCGACATTAGGGAAATCCATGCCACGACCAATAACATCCGAGGCGAACAGGATTCCGGCAGCCGCCTCCTTGAATTGAGCCGTGGTTTTCGTGCGAGCGCTCTGATTGAGTCTGGAATGGATCTCAAACACCTTCAAAGGAGTCAAGCCCTGAGAAAAGGCTGCTGCGAAGAGAGCAACCATATTTGCAGTGACCCCGAAGACAATGATTTTAGAGCTGGTCTTGGTTTCGAGCTTGAGCAGGGAGGCAAGCGTGATAAAGGTGTCTCCCACAGACGGCATCAACACGTGGTACTGGGGTACTCTCTCATGCGTTGGTGCTTCATGCTTTTCAATGGTTGAAATGCTACTGTAGCCTGGCTTCAGCACAACACTGACCACATCCTTAACTTTGGGTGGAACAGTGGCTGAGAAGCACATCCCTTGCCAGCCAGTGCTCTTTGGAGGAATGAGCTGGAGGATCCGCTTCACATCAGCTATAAAGCCGGTTTCGAGCATCGTGTCGGCTTCGTCCAAAACCAGAGTTTGGATGTTAGACAGCTTCTCAGCCGTGGAGGGTTCGGATAGGTAGTCTTTTAGTCGTCCCGGAGTTGCTACCAGAATGGATGGTGCCCCCTTCATGAAGCGCGAGAGAGCAGATGCCCGAGCCGTTCCACCAACTGCAACGTGGCACTCATGAGGCGTCGTAAGTTGCGATGTGAGTTGATCGCATGTCTTTGCAATTTGCTGGGCAAGCTCGCGCGTTGGGGTAATGATCAGTATGGCGACCTGACCTCTTGGTGGCGCCGAATAACCTTGGAGTAGGCAGTGCAACGCAGGTAGCAAAAAGGCAAGGGTTTTGCCAGTACCAGTTTTGGCCTGGACCAGGCAGTCACTGCGCCAGGTTGGAAGTTCGGTCAAAACACGGTGTTGGACAGGTGTCATAAACCCAAAGCCCATCACGTCCAGGGCTTGAAGGAGTTTGGAGTCCAGCTTCCCAGCCATGGATGCGTACGGCTGAGCGCCGTCGCTGATTCCGGGACCTTGCATGAGGTCGAGGGTTTTTAAATTCGAGCAGACCTGCAGTTTCTTGTTTGATGTAGATTCAAACACGCAGTGGCACTTGGGTGAATATAATGCTTATTGACTGTAAGACGTGGCAGAATTTATGTTATCTTATCAATGATACGATCCCAATTTCTGTAAGATTTTTGGTTAGATTTGGATAAATTCTACTACCAATGCAGCGATGCGAGAAGAAGCAGCCCGGAGGTAATCAGCAAGTGAATTAATCCCCTTTTATTTCCTTGATGGTCCCGATGTGAATCAATATAGTCTATATGCGACAACGCAGAGATTTGTATTTGCCAAGCAATTGAAATGTTCAAAAAGTTAGTTAACCGTACAGAGCTTGGTAAGCATGAATTGATTGGCTATATTAGATACACTATACCTTGTTCGGTTGGTGGATAGAATGGTGTACCCATTGGGGAGTTATTCCTGAATAGGAAAGGCTAACCGTATGTGGTAACATATAAGTCCTCGGTTTAACAGGAGCACAGGTTAATCTCAGCCTTGTTATTATGCCTAGGCCTTTCCACCACAACTCTCCACCTCTTTCCCCATATCACCTATATTGTCTTGGTCGTCTCCTTATGTTTCCCTGATCAGACATAAACTCGTCAAGATTTCAGTTCACGAGGACAGTCTGGACCCACTCAGAATTAAGTTGAACTATACAATCCTTCCCCTTCATAGATTAGCGAGCAATGGGGTCAGACAAGACCATTCATCCACGCCCATCATTTAGATCATGTATATTAATGCCTGATTGATATACTCAAGTACGAGGTTCGCGGATGGGGCATACCTGATTGAGAAGCTAAATGGCCACAACTCATCGAAGATGTGCCTCTCATAATCGAGACCTCAAGACGTACTCGTTAGCGGTCCAGAACATGGGAAAAACAAAGTACGCAACCAACAGCGAACGTAACTGAGCGGATTTACCTCAACGGAGTGGCTGATGATTCCCATGAATCCCTTTGTCTTAGCAGGGAAATTAATGGAATTGTGACAGAAACCGTTAGGAAGCCTTACGATGTCGTGGTTGCATCTGTCTTGCTGCGAGCACACCGGCTAGCCCCAACGAAATTTGGGCTCGGGTGAGTAGTCCATTGTTAACCTGCCACGACATAAGCTAAGTGTGTATATCTCTGACGGCGACTTGGGGGAGCGGGAATGGGTCAATGCACGTAGTTTGTGCCAGACCCTTTGGCCAGAAGAGCCTATCTAGTGTTCGTGGCATGATTTCACTGACAACATGGAACGAACACGCGACGTGAGCTTTCGGGTGTTGCAGGACGAAAAGCAGATTGCGCTTCCTGGAATTGCTAATGCGGACATCAGTGAACGCATAGCAGTACTCCGATCTACATTGGGATCGCTACATGAACCTTTGATCACTACCATACCAGAAATGGATTTTACTCACATGAGGAAATGGCTGCCCCCTGCGGAGATGACGAGGATCACAATGACTAATGACTGTGATCCTTCATCGGTCCAATGGCGGGACTATCCCGGAGTTAATTTTAGAGTGATCGATCTTAAGAGACGGTGCATTGTCTGTGCTCCGAACACTTGCTCATTCATTGCTCTATCTTATGTGTGGGGTGGGGTAGTGCCCTGGACCGTGTTCTAGAATCATCGGCATGGGTCCGCCGTGGATGGTATTATCAAGAGCTGGTCCTATCGCATCGTGTTCTTCTGTTCGCCGAGAAGGGAATATAAATGTTGTCAACGAAGCACCATCAACATGAGCAAAATGCAAACAACAGGTAGTAGGCGTCATGACAAATTCATAGCCAACTCGGTTGGTAATATGCTGTCCGTGCATCGTGGTGAAGACCTGGACTCTTACCTCTCCGCAGTTGAATCTTACTCCCAACAAGAGCCCATAAAACAGGAAGATAAGAAAAAAGCTTTCCAGAGAATACTTAAAGGTTATGATGGTATGGTGGATGGCAAGATGACTTCATTTTGTTATGGTCTCCCTATATTTGCCTTTGATCAAACGTTCTGCTGGTCCAGTAGCCAACACAACCCTTACCGTCGTAACAAATCCTACCCAAGCTGGTCATGTCTGGAATGGGACAACGCAGTCAAAGAATTCAGGTTTCGAGAACTAGCCAGATGATTTTTGGTGGTCGCAGGCACGAATATGGCCTTGAGACCCGACCACCGGCATGAGTCCTTGCATTGCTCATCGCCGTGGGGGTTAGTAGCATGGTTTACAACGTCCTAGAGAAGTGGCTGTGTGAAAGTATCGCCACTTTATGCATTGCACAGGACTCCTTTAATTCGTAAGGCTCGAATTGTCTGTATACCGTTTTACCGACCGAAGGCGTTCCTAACACAATGCCAACCAAATGCCACTAGATCTTGGGGAATGCGTTGGCTCCGCCGGATCAGCCCCAGAACATACGAGCGAGAAATTTCAGCATCATGGTCACGAAAATTGGGGACCAGACACTGCACTAGGAAATATTTGGCTATACCAAGAGTGGCGAGAGAATTACCCTGTCAGGTTCACCATGCGATTTTTGGCGATAGCGGGAGAGAAGGACACAATGAGAGAACGTGGGTGGGTTATCACAATGCTTATGTGCTTGCAGAGCGTGGAGTGTGGGATGGAGCGGGTGCAGGCCATGGATTGTGAAATTGATGATGAGCCGTGGTTGAAGATAGGAGCAAA